ATGTTAGAGTCTTTTGAATGCAAAATACATCTAAATTCATTTTACTGTGATTCAGAGTGCAGTTAGCCATTGTTCCATATCAAAAGGCATCATTATGTTCAGCAGCAACAATCTTTGTTTCTTATTGCTTTTATAAAAACCATGCCTTCTAAAAAAAGACTGAAAATATGATTGCATCAATAGCCCTTATTGTGGTTGAATAACATGCTGCGTGCCTCAAAAACATTCTTTAGCTTTAACATATTCATACTTTGAGACAAAGTGATCTCTTGCACTGCATAACAAAATATGCAATGAGAGATGCTTGTTAATTTGTTTCCTACCTAAATTAACTGAGATGATTTTATTTAATCTCTTCATTTTTCACTCTTTTTCACCTTAATCCAGCATTTGAAACCTAACCAGCATCACACATTTTCAACATTTCCCATTAAATGCATTTTTTGCAAATTCTGCATTCTGCCCTGCCAGAGGATTATGAATACCCCTTTCACCCTTTTGCACACCAGTAAATATGGATATTTGGTAGTGAGATTTTGTGAGCTCTCGCCTTCTTTCTGGTAAAGTAAGAACTACAGTATATGTACGTGTTGACTTTAAAGTACAATCAAGACATGCATTCTTTGACTGGACCCTGCTGGTTGCACACTTTCCATGTAGTTTTAGTTAAGTCAGGTCATTTTTTTGAAACCCTGTAGTTGTTGGCATTCAGCTCTGGCAGTTCTCTTGACTTCTCTGTGATGCAGAACGGCTTTGGTCAGAGAAGAGAAAAAGAAGGCTGGATTTATTTTTATTGGCAGTATGGAGAACCGCTACCTTGGAGGTGGTGTGCTGCCGAGAGTGATATATCTTGCCTCCTGGCAACCGGGGGGGGGGGGGGTAGGGGGGTCTAAATGGGGGAAAAGCGGCCTGTTGTAAGGGGGAGTCAGCCAAAGTGCAGGCCTCACTGTAATGGTTTCTCTGTGGCTATGTGATCCCAGCGCTGAGATTTAGAGCAGACTCCCCGACTCCTGTCTACACCGTGCTGTCTTGTGCTGCGTACTTTGCTTTGTAGGACAGTTTAAGTCCTTGTTCGCCAGCGTGTGAGGAAGCTATTGTAACCAAACTGCAGTCATCTGGAATCTTGTGGTTTGACCAAGGTCATACACTCACTGGTACTCACAAACTGTGTGAGATCTGTGCCCTGCAGGCATTGCCTTATTATTTCTCTCCTTGCATCCTATTAAATATTCATTCTTGATTTGTTAAGATGTATTCTGTTACTGATCTGAATTGTATTGAAGAGGGTTTGCATCATGCAGTCTCTCTTTTAACAGTGTTCTCGGAACAATGTTCTTGACAGTGATATTCAAAGCTAATTAAATTAAAGCTTAAGTGGAATTAAATTAAATCAAAAGCTTTTTCGGTTTGTCCAGTCTGTCATGTAAATCTATCGCTAAAACCTTTGTCATTAAATTTGACTTCTGACTTACTGAGCTACACACTATGGCAGAAACCTGCTTGAACAAAATGCTAATGCTTAATGAAGATAAATAAATGAAGAAATAAAAATGCCATGATGACCTCTAATACAAGTACTTAGAGTATCATGTCTTGAGGAATATTGCTATGTTGCTGCAAGTAAATAACCTAAACTGCACTGTAATCCTTGTTAAAACCTTTTGTTTTGTGGTCCTTTTCACCTGCAATAACCTTTACTTTATTGTGATATAAATATGGAGTGAAAACAGCAAAATTGAGTTATCAGCTCCACCAATTGTATTGAATCTTTTGGATACCCAGCCATCAGTGTTACAGTTACGCAACACACCTGACGGTTGCTGAGCTTGGAAATACGGACAAGAAATTTCAAACCCTCTTTACAAACCTTCAGGTTCTACATCCCACTCTGCTTTCTGGGCTGTGGATGTCATCTAATGAACTGTTTAGAATCAATGGCTTGGTATGTTTTGCTTACTGCTTACACAGTTTTAACCCATTATAGCTCAGTTTTAATCATTTAGAATTCAGTGTAGTTTATATTCCTGGAGCTCCTTTTAAAGTCTAAGTATCTTATTGCAACATATTAGAAGGTTCAGAAGTAAATATTGACCAGTTTGTTTGTTTTGCATTTTTATTTTGTAATTCTGTATGAACAACTGCTCCACAGACACTGACAGGCTTCATTTAAGGACTACAAATCCAAACCAGGTTCATAATGCCGTTTATCTGATTATGATAACTTTCTGTCTTAGAGGTCTCAGATTATAATGACACTAGTCCTGGATTGAGGTATTATGTGGAATTTACATTTGGAAATAACATGCGACTCAGAAGAAAACTGCCCAGAGTGTTATTTGGGAGAGTGGAAACTTTATAAAATAACTTTTGTCATAAATTCCTTGTAAATGGTTTCCACACTTCCCAAATGTGGATTTAAGGCTTTTTTCCAGATATTGAGTTTCTTTCTGTGGCAGGATTTGTTATTTTATTTTCTTAAAATATCAGTTTCCTTCATTTTTTATTAAACATCTATTGGGCTAATGAAGGGGAAATTGCAATTAATTCTGCATTTGTTCAAGAAGCCGGGCATCAGTCATTTGTCTTAATTAATCAGAAATATTAATCATCTAATAAACATTAAAAGTATTAAAAAAACAAAGAACGGTTTGATTTTTCAAAAGGTTGACATCTTTACTGAAGCACAGCCTTAGACCTCAGTACTCCATGCATTTTATATAGGAATTGCATGAAAACATAGGGCATTCTGTAACAGAGCAGTATAACTGGAGTAGTTTGTTTATGTCTTCAATGATTGCTTTAAAGTGTGTTATCTTGTAAATAACATAGAGACTTATTTGGTTACAGTCAGATTGTGTTGAAACTGCCTATGAAAATATTTACTCTCATTTGCTTCATTCAGTTTCATTTCTTTGTATCCAATATGGGGATTTAAAACATGGATTCTCATGATATTTCAAATGCTAGGAATTCACAATGTTCAGAATTACATTGAATATATATTTAATGTTTTGTTGCTGATCAAAAGGTCTCATCTCTTCTACTAAATATACCAGATGTGCTTGCAAAATA